AGCATGTCTTCAAGTGTTTGTTTACTACCTGGATGTCTTCCTTGGTAAAGTGTCTGTTCATGTCTTGTGCCTATTTATTAATTGGATAGTTGGTCTTTTTCTTATCTGTCCCTTGTCTGATATGTCATTGCAAAAATTTTTTCCCAGTCTGTAGACTCCCTTTTTATTCTTTTGGAGAACTCTTTTGATGCACGTAAGTTTATAATTTTTAGGAGGTCCCAGTCATCTATTTTGCCTTCTTGTGCAATGTTTTTACAATGTTTGACAGTATATGTATGCCATGTATTAGAGCCCCTAAGTTTGTCCATAGTTTTTCATTGATGATCTTTATAGTTCTAGGTTTTACTCTTAGTTTTTTAGCCTGTGTTGAGTTTGTTTTGTATATGGTTTTGTTTCATTTTTCTGCAAGTGGATTTCCAGTTTTGCCAGCACTATTTGTTAAAGAGACTATCTCTTCCCCTTTTGATATGTTTTGGTCCTTTGTCAAAGATCAGTATGTGGATGAATTTACCTCTGGGTTCTCATTTCGGTTCCATTGATCTGTGTATCTTTTGTTGTACCAGTACTAGGTTGTTTTGACCACTGTGACTGTAGTAATTTTTGAAATCAGGGAGTAAGAAGCATTCTACTTTGTTCTTCTATTTAAATAGTACTTTGCTTATCTGAAGTCTCTTTCCTTTCCGTTCTGTTTTTTGTTTTGTTTTTACTTAAAGCTCTGTGCTGTTTTTTGTTTGTTTTGCTTTTAAATTTTTTATTGTGAGTTGAGTAAAAGTAAATAGACAAGATCATCAGCTTTACTTTCTCATGTCAGTGATGACACTTCTACACTGTGGCTTCTCTTTTACATCTCATTTTTTCACAAGTGAATAAGGCAAAAATATTTGATGTGCACATACAAACACAAAAAACATATATTCATTTAAATGTTCAAAGGACACATTTTGCAAGCCATCCTCCTGCCCACAGGCATACAGGCTTTCTCAGTCAATGGGCCTAGAGCCCTCAGCTGCTTTATCTCTCTGTGTTATTGCCTCTACCACCATCTCTGCCGTCTTTGCTTTTCTGACTCATAGAGACCCTGGATAGAGTTTTTGAGGAGCAGCTGATAGGTTTGAACTGCCAACCTTGTGGTTCGCAACCCTGTGCTGATCCTGTGTATAGTGCTGATCCTGTGTACTGTGCTGTTGGATCAGCACTGGACTGTAAAGTTGGTTTGAACTGCAAGGTTAATAGTTAAAATTTACCTGTTGCTCCTTGAAAGCCTATGTTGCTATGAGTCAGAACCAACTCTACAGCACTTAACAAAAACAACAGCATCTGTGTCATTATATATATATATATTCTCTCATAGCATAGTGGTTACGAATCGGGCTGCGAACCTTAAGGTCAGCAGTTCGAAACTACCAGCTGCTTCCCGGGAGAAAGATGAGACTTTCTGCTTCCGTAAAGATTTACAGCCTCAGAAACCCTGTACAGGGTCGCTATGGGTCGGAATCGACTCAAAGGCACTTAACAACAACAACAGTGTTCTTATTATATTTTTTATATGCTTATTGAATAAATGGAGTCCTGATGTGGTGCTCTAGGGTAAGCCCTGGACTATTAACCACAAGGTTGGGATTCAAACCCACCAGCTGCTCCTTGGAAACCCTATACAGGGTTTCTATGAGTTGGAACTGATTTGACAGCACTAACAACATTGAATAAAGAGCCCTGGTAATACACTGGGTTAAACTTTCAACTGCTAACCGTAAGGTCAGTAGTTCGAACCCACAGCTGCTCTTCACGAGAAAGATGAAGCAATCTACTTCTGTAAAGATTTACAGCCTTGGAAACCCTAGGGAGCAGTTCTACTCTGTCCTGTAGGATTGTTGTGAGTCTGTATCACTGCAGTGGCGTTGAGTTATTATTAAGATGGCCTAGTTTTATTCATTGGCTACTGATGGATATTTGGGTTACTTCTAATTTTTTATGCTGCATTGAATATTATTATACCTATTTTCTTGGGTATATATTTGAGAGATGGAGTGTGGTTGCTCCAGAGGATAACTACAGGACTACAAACCACAAGGTCCATAGTTTGAGCCCACCAGCTACTCTGTGGAAGGAAGATGAGGCTTTCTGCTTCCACAAAAATTTAAAGCCTGTATAGGCTTGGAATTGACACGGCGGCACATAATAACAACATCAGTAATGTGTTTGAGAGATTTTCTAGGGTATGTTTACTGAAATATTGATGAATGTATATATAATATTTATTTTTTTCAGCTTCAATTTTTACTCAGCTAGAATTGTATGAAACTATTGATGCTCCATCACTCAATAACAAGTATACCAAAGCCGATCACAGTCAGTGGCTGTAGAGTGGATTCTAACTCATAGTGACCCCGTAGGACAGAGTAGAACTTCTATATAGGGTTTCCAAGGCTATAATCGTTACAGAAGCAGGCTACCATATCTTTTGCCTGAGAAGCAGCTGGTGAGTTCAGACTACTGATCTTTTGGTTAACAGCCGAATTTTTAACCACTGTTATACTAGGGTTCCTTGATAACATGAGCATACCTGAGTTTTCTGTTGTTGCTCTTAAGTGCCATTGAGTGGGTTCCCACTATAGGATTTCCAAGGATTGGCTGGTAAGTTTAAACTGCTGACCTTGTGGTTAGCAGTCCAGGGCTTATCCTACAGTGCCATATCAATGTTGTCACAGTTAATTTATTATGGGCTAAATAAGAGATTGGAGTCCTGGTGTGGTGCTGTGGGTTAATGCGCTGGACTGCAAAGCCAGTTTGAACTGCAAGGGTGGCAGTTCTAGCTCAACAGCCACTCGATACAAACAGTATATAGGGTCACTATGGGTTGTGTTGTGGTTACGAATTGGGCTGTGAACCACAAGGTCAGCAGTTCGAAACTCCCAGCTGTTCTGCAGGAGAAAGATGAGCCTTTCTGCTCCTGTAAAGATTTACAGCCTTGGAAACCCTGTACAGGGTCGCTATGAGTCGGATCTGACTCCATGGCACATAACAACAATAACAACATGCATCAGAAGCTACTTGATGGCACTTAACAACAACAAATAAGAGATTATATAATGAGTATAAACTTAAAACTGAAAAGAAGAAAAAAAAAAACATTGCCTTGGAGTTAATTCTGTTTCATAGTGACACTAAGAAGAGATTTGTTACAGTTGTTAAAGTGCCATCGAATTGGTTCTGATTCATAGTGACCCTGTATAGGGTTTCCAAAGAGTGGTTGGTGAGTTTGAACTGCCGACCTTTCAGTTCATACTGACATTGCAATTGAGTGTTTATCCTAGAGCACTGTACCAGGACTCCATGTATACAGTATACATTATAATTTTACTTTGTGTACTTTATTTTAAAAAGGTTCTACTTTTTCTCAGATAAGTTTAATTTTTTTGATATGTAATTTTTCAAAATAAATACCTTTGTTGAACATTAAAAGCAGATTGTCCCTTAGGGAATTCATATGTTTATTTTTCTTATTTGTTCAGAAGTTATGATGCTGTGACAATCTACCTTTTCTCAGATAGGTTTAGTTTTTTAATAATTTTTTTCAAAATAAATACCTTTGTTGAACATTAAATTATGAGATTGTCTGTTTGTACAGGCTTTAGAGCCAATGGTTCCCAAATGTGGCCTGTAATCACGAAGGTGAGCATCCACAAAGCAAAAAAAGTGATTTTTCATAACAGTTGCCCTTTTCACTGTCTTGACATTTGCACACTTGGGCAAAAGCAGTGGAAGGAAGAGTTAAGTGTCTTTGTAGTTAGTGGCACTAATCTGTAATGAGTTTATATTCACATTAATGGGTTTATTTTTACTTATTTATTTTTAAACTTTTTTATTGTTAATTGAGTGAAGATTTACAGACAAGATCATCAGTTTTACATTCAACAAATCATGCACTTTGTTTTATCTCAATGATTGCAATCCCCTTCATGCAAGAACAATTGTCCCACTTACTATTTCCATTCCACCCACCTTCCTAGCCCTTAGCAACTTTGTCCTTAGGTAGATGTTGTCCTTTTGATTCTGAATGATAGATGATTTCATGGTGAGCGTAGCAACGTAGTGGTTACGAATTGGGCTGCGAACCACAAGGTCAGCAGTTCGAAACTATCAGCTGTTCCGCGGGAGAAAGATGAGGCTTTCTGCTCCTGTAAAGATTTACAGCCTCGGAAACCCTGTATAGGGTCGCTATGAGTCGGAACCGACTCCACGGCACATAACAACAACATACCTTAGTAGGGAGTCCTGGTGTGGCGCTGTGGGTTAATGCGCCAGACTGCAACGCTGTTTGAACTGCAAGGTCGGCAGTTCAAGCTCACCAGCTGCTCCTCAGAAACTCTATACAGGGTCGCTATGGGTTGGAACCGACTTGATGGCACTTCACAACAACAACAACATACCTTAGTAGTGTTATTTTCCCTTGTATGTATTTGTCTACTGCTTGATTGAAAATTGTGTTATTTTATTATCTATGTGAATAAGTATTTCCAAAATTTCTTAGTGTCAGTTTCTAATATAGTAACTATCATTAGAAGCAATCCACACAAACTAGATATGTTTCCCTAACAGTTTAAAAGGAGACCAAAAAGTTTGAGAACCATTGTGCGTAGTAAACTTATGAAGGAGCTCTGGTAGCATAGTGGTTACGAATTAGGCTGCTAACCTCAAGGTTGGCAGTTTGAAACTACCAGCTGTTCTGTGGGAGAAAGATGAGGCTTTCTGCTCCCGTAAAGATTTGCAGCCTCAGAAACCCTGTGCCAGGGTCACTATGAGTCGGAACCGACTCTATGGTACTTAACAACAACAACAACAAACTTATGAAAAAGAAAACTTAAGTAATATAATTACTTAACTAATGAATTCAGTTGATCTTTAAGCTATATATGAGGCTAAAGCAAGTTAATATTCTATTCTTTGACTTAAAATTTTGTTGATAACTGGATTATAATTACAAATAAAATACTTCTCAGGTGCTGACCTTAAGGAAAGAGTCAAAATGCATTCCAGTGAAGTTGGTCCTTTTGTCTCCAAAGCAAGAGCAGTGATTAATGAAATAGGTAAGCCATACTTAAATTATCTTTTCACCATGCTGAACATGACCTTAAATGGCACATTTTGAAAGCTGCACACTGTCTTGATATGTAAGCTTTGACTAAAATATTTATATAACTTGACAATTGTGAATCACAGCTGGTTGTTTTAAAACAGCATATGACATACTGGTATTTCATTTTATGCCTCCTGTGTATTATAGTGGCATGGCATCTGAAAATATTTATTAGTAAACAAGGTATAGTTTGATATAAGTCTTTACTTAAATTATCTGTTTCTTAAATAACAGTATACACAAACGTTTATAAATTTGTAATTTTTTTCTACAGAAATAGGTTTACACTATAGATTTATTAGAATTACAAGTTTTTGTGGAAATATTTACATTATCAGTAGATATCAATATACTTTCTATGTTTTTATTTACTGCTGTGTGATTTATAGCATAGTCTTATCAAAATTTTAAAAAATATTGGTGTTCTGCTTTTTATCTGGAGTCCTGGTGTGGTGTTGTAGGATAAAGCACTGGACTGCAAGGTCAGCTTGAACCTCAAGGTGAACAGTCCAAACGCAAAAGCCACTCCTTGTAAGACCCTGTACAGGGTTGGTTTGAGTTGGAACCGATTTGACGACACTTAACAACTTTTTATTTTGCTCATATTGCTATTTATAATTAAGTAGTGAGTATGCTCATATCTTAAGTATGTGGGGTAAGATGAGGCTTTTTGCTCCTGTAAATATTTATAGATTCGGAAACTGTGCAGAATTGCTGTGAGTCAGAACCTACTGGTACCTAACAGCAACAGCAACAACATCTAAGTTACGTGTGCTTATAGGATAGGTTTGTAAACACTGAATTACAGTTTTAAGGATCTTATTTTAAATAAATCCTTTAAGGTAGTAGTATTTTATATTCCCATCATTTAAATGAGCTAACCTGTTTGCTCATACTCCTTTAGCATTTAATATTGCTTGTTTTTAAGCTTTGCCAGGGGAAACAGCAGAGAGATGCCAGCATTTTAATTTGACTTTTCAAAATACCTTGTGTTATTTGTCTTTTCAAATTAGGCTTGCCTTTCCACGTCTGTAAATGGCCTTTTCACATCTTCTGTCTTTTGTATTTAATAACGACGTACTTGTTTAAAGGGAACACTGGTGGTGCTGGTGTTAGGCATCGGGCAGCTAACACAAGGTTGGTAGTTCAGGAGAATCCACTGTCCGTTCTGTGGGCGAAAGATGATGCTCTCTGGTGGATTCAAACTAGTAACCTTGTGATTAGCAGTCCTATGAGCAACCCATTAGGCCACCAGAGCGTCTTTAAAAACTCTCTAGATATTAAAATTAAATTGGGACTCCTTTTGGAGTTTAATTACACTGGTATAATTATTAGGGAAGAGTTGACGTATTTCCAGTATTATGCCTATAAATATGTATGGTATGCATAGCTCTCATTTGATGGGTGGATGTTATCATTTTTAATGTCCTTCAAGAAAGTTTTATAACTTCCATCATGTTGTTCTTGATCTATTTTTTTCAAATGTGTTCCTAGCTATTTTATAGTGTTTATTCCTTTCGGTGAAGTATTTTTTCCTATTTCTCTTTCAGTCTAATTATTGTAGCGGTGTAGGAAAGTTATTAAAATGTATATGCTTATTTTATATAGAGCTAGGTTACTGTTTACTTGTACTATGTGTGTTTCTCAATTCTCTTTTGCTTTCTAGATGAAAAGTTCATTACCTGTAAATAATGAAGTGTTTATCTCTCCCTTTCCCACATTTTAATCTTAAATATTTTTCATATTTTTTCATATTGGCTAGAACCTTCATTATACATTTGTTGGGGTGAGATTGTGCACCCTTATCTTTGTTTTGATTTTGGTGAATGGCTGTAATTTTTTACTAGTTACCAAGTTTAGGGAAGATTCCTATTTCAACTTGCTAGGTGTTTGCTGTTGCTTTTTAATCAAGAATAATTATAAAGTTTTCTCAAGTGCTTTTTTTATATCTCTCAAGCAGATCTTATAAATTATCTTCAGGCATCATTAAATTATGCTAATAGATTTAGTAATGCTATATGGGCCTTGTGTTTTACTAGATTGAATTCTACTTTGGTCATTGTGAGTAGTTGGTAGTGGTGGTAGTGGAGGTAGTGTGCCGTTGTGCCAGCTCATAGCAACCCTGTATAGAATTTCTGATGCTGTAAATCTTTAAGTGGGCAGAAAGCCTCTTTCTTTCACGGAATGGCTGGTAGTTTCGACCTGCCGACCTTGAGGTTAGCAGCCCGACTCGTAGCGGTGTTGTTTCTAACATATACTACTTTAAAAAATAGTTTGTTGCAATTATAAATGAGATTCAGTTTAAAATTTTCCTTATTGTGTCATTTTCTGGTTTGTTTACAGGGTCAAATTACCATCAGAGAATGAGACAAAAAGCATTTATTTGTGTTGTGTAATAGAACCCTGGTGTGGTGCTATAGAATAAGCACTAAACTGCTAACCGCAGTCTCCTTGTTGTCCTATGCCATTGAGTCAGTTCCAACTCATAGCAACTCTATCCACAACAAAATGAAACATTGCCTGGTTGTATGGCATCCTCATAATTGTCCTTATATTTGATCCTGTTGTTGCTGCTATTGTGTCAGTCCATCTTGTTTGTTGTGTTCATTGCTGATATTCCACTTTCCCAAATATGATGTCCTTCTCCAGGGCCTTGTCCCTCCTGATAACATGTCCAGAAGATGAGAGACGAAGTCTTACCATCCTTGCTTCCAAGGAGCATTCTGGTTGTACTTCTTCCAAGACAGACCTGTTCGTTCCTAGATAGACCTGTTTGTCCATAGTACCATCAACATTCTTCCCTAACACCAAAATTCAAATGCATCAATTATCATATGGTCTCCGTATTCACTGTTCAACTCTCACCTGCATATGAGGTGATTGAACATATCATGGCTCAGGGACAACTTAGTCCTCAAACTGATACCTTTGCTTTTTTTTTTTAAATTTTTATTGTGAATTATGTGATAGTTTACTTGGGAGAACACCAACTTTACATTCATCCTATCGTATTTCGTTTCATTGCAATGATTACAGTACCCTGCATTCATCATCAAACAACCAAAGGGTACACTCCACAAGTCTTCCCCCCGGCCATCAGCACACAGTCCCTCTCCCTCCCTGAATCCAGAGTCCCCAGCCACTCTTTCTCTTCACATTGTCTTCTTCATCTCTGGTGTCACTGCTTCTCTGAAAAGGGTCCCACACTGCTTTTCTCCCTTGATGGTTCCAGGGACTTCCATTCCTGGACTGCAAAGTCAATCATTCCCCTCCTTTTGTTACAAAACATCTACCTTTACATTTCTGACCCTCACAGTCAGTAATATCTTTGCTTTTGAACACTTTAGACAGGTCTGTGCAACAGATTTGTCTAATGCAATAAGCTATTCCTTTCTTCATTGCTGCTTCCATAAGCATTGATTGTGAATCCAAGCAAAGTGGAGTCTTTGACAACTTCAATCTTGTTTCCTTTGATTTATTGGTCCAGTGGTGAGTTTGTTGTCTTTACATTGTTGTCTTTACATGTATTTTTTACAATACATACTGAAGGCTGTAGTCTGTGATCTTCATCAGTAAATATTGCAAATAATCTTGGCTTTCATCAAGCAAGGTTGTGTTATCTGCATATTGCAGGTTGTTAATGAGTCATCCTTCAATCCTAATGCCACATTCTTCATATAATCCAGTTTCTTGAATTATTTGTTCAGCATACAGACTGAATAAATATGGTGAAAGGAAACAACCCTGGCACACAAATATCTTGATTTTAAACCATTCTGTATCCTCTTGTTTTGTTCAAACAGCTGCCTCTTGGTCTACATATAGATTCCTGATGTGCTCAATTAAGTGTTCTGGAATACCTCTTCTTTGCAATGTTATTCATACTTTGTTATTATCCACATAGTCAAATGCCTTTGCATAGTCAATAAAGCGTAAGTAGACTTCTTTCTGGTATTCTGTGTTTTCATCCAAGACCCATCTGATGTCAACAGTGCTATCACTCATTCCAGGTTCTCTTCTGAATTCAGATTGAATATCTGGCAGCTCTGTGTTGATATATTGCTGTAATCTTTTTTTTTTTTCTTTTAAGGCTTTTTATTGTGAATTGATTGAGTGAAGGTTTATAGGGCAGATCATCAGTTTTATATTCAACAAATCATGCTATAATCACTTTTGAATTATCGTCATTAAAATTTTACTTATATGGGATGCTTTTCTTATTCTTTATTTTGTGCTGGTATTATCTTAGACCCTTCACGATTTTTGTGTCCAGCTTCAAATTCATGTTCATATGGCCTCCAGGATAGAATAGAAACTTTGTTTAGAAGTGAGTCAAAGAGTTTGATATTATAAGTAAAATTTGAGTGAGAAATTGATCCAAGATGGCAGCCTAGGTAGATCTACTCCTCCTGCATCTCCTTTAGGAGTTCTGGTAGCGTAGTGGTTATGAATCGGACTGCTAACCTCAAGGTTGGCAGTTCAAAACTACCAGCTGTTCACGGGAGAAAGATGGGGCTTTCTGCTCCCATAAAGATTTGCAGCCTCAGAAACCCTGTGCATGGTCATTATAAGTCGGAACTGACTCCACAGTTCTTAACAGCAACATCAATACCATAATCAACTTTTCCAAAACCAAAGACAGGAAAAGAATCCTTTGAACAAAAATGAAAAACTTCCCTACAGAGGGGAACTAATAAGGCTCATTAAGCTCTGCTTTCTTGGCAAAACAATATAGGCATAAAGGCAGTGGGATGACATAGTCAAAAAGTATTGCTACTAGGGTTCCATTTCATAGATGCAGGGGTTAATTGCAGTAAAAATGTGATGAAACATGTCTGCGATAAGTGAATAGCTGCAGATAAGTTCCCTCAGTAACACATTTATCTTAGTCTCTTTAGGGTGCCAACAACAAAAAAAAAGGTCGTATCAAAACAATGAGTGGATCTTCTG